TTAAAATGGTGTCTTCACAGTTGTTTGGCCAAAGCAAAGACTTCACAGTCACAGTTCACAATCACATACGTCTGGAAAAAAGTCAGATGTTTTTCTGGTTAAATTACTTCTGTCAACTAAACGTTTCATTTTGTAGATTCGATGTGATAGAAGGACTCTTCATTATAAAAAAAAAGGACTCAAGGGTCAATTTCTGGATTAAAGATTGATGGGATTTATTTTAGGGAAAAGGACACATTTGTTGGCCATATTTGAAGGATCCTTTGAAATGGAACAGCCTAGTCGTGTTGATGTCACACAATCAATCTTCAAATGCAGCCTCCGAAGGATGCGTCCCCCTAGTTTAGAGTTTTAGCAAGAACTGTTATTGTGACTGTGTTTGGTTACAAAAAAAACATAAGAGTCAAGTTCATTTGGTCGATGAGGTTCATCAAAAGTGGGAAATGCTCCTCTGGATTTAAAATAAACGAATCCTGTGCTGTCTGCAAACTTCCCCTTTGTGTTTGTTTGACGTTGTCGCCCAGCGTGACGTTCGGCAGAGCAGAGCTTTGGCATTAAAAGGGGATTCTGCTGTAATCCAGTCAATGATTGGATGCTGGCAGACATGCTATGTTCCTATCCTTCCTAATAGGTTGTGGGATGCCAAATGCTCCAGGTGACAGCTGTAGGGCCCAGCCATGGTCATCCATTCTCCTCTGTGCGACCTTATGAAGCTTGGAAAGATAAAGTCTGAGGTGTGCATTAACTTCTCGGATACGTGAGGATTTACTCGTGGCACAGTTGGGTCTGGCAGATGTGTGGGATTGTACGAGTAAAGCTGATAGAGATAATGAAACAGGATCACAGATCAGGGTCGGCATGTATGAAATATCTCCGCTGTTGACGCCAAATCAATTTGGGGAGTCCGCGTGGCAGCGAGTAGCATGTGCCTTGATTCAAGCTTCTCGCTGCGGGACCACGTGAACTGCATGACGTCAATTGTTCCCAAAATACAACTTGATGAATTCAGCCCCTGTTTGGCAGCTGGTGTGTGATTTCTCTCTTTCCAGCTCCCTGAAGGAATTGTTTTGTTTTCTTACAGTCGGAGAGGAAAGAAAGGCGAGGGTTACCATCTATAAAAGGACTTTGAGTCATGAGCTGTTTACTCTTATCGCCTCCCTGTCAGCCACTCCCTCCTCTTTTCATTTGCACAATTACCCTATTCAATAAGCCCTTAGCCGTGCCATCACTTACGGATCTGTCCTCAATATCCCTGCTTGATTAAATCAAGCAAATTCAGTTATGGACTCTGCCCCCTCCTGTTGTAAACCCATTAACTACTCCATCACCTCCTCCTGCAGAGGGAGTAACGGGCCTGAAGGAGTTGGCCTTCCTGAGGGACCTCGCGGAGCAGAATTCGGTGAAGTACGGCGTGGACAGAGCAGGAGACCGGGACCGGGACCGCTCCTCTGGGGCATCATCACCTGGTTCGGCAGGAGCTTCCATGATGCCGGTGGTGAAGGGGAGCATGATGGTTCTCAACCAGCTGAGCAACCTGGAGACGACAGTGGGCCGATTCTACATCAACCTCCCCAACCGTATGATCGACCTGGCCGGCTTCAGTCTGCCCTACTCCGACCCCATGGGAGACGGTGAGTGGTCTGGACCCGACTGGACCGGAATGAAGTTCAGTCTGACTGATGTTTTAGATTATTGCCCCAAAAAAAAATGAATCAGATCAATTTGTAATGAGAAGAACTAAATGAACATAAATCAATTATTTGATTAACCTGATAATTAGAGTGAATCAGTCACTGGCATTAATCTGGTGATGTTTACGAGCAGCAGTGTCAGTTGAAGAAATATACAAAGTTAATAATAATAATGATAAAAATAAATAATAAGCGAGGTTACTTTTGTTTTCTTATAAAGACCTTTATAACTGTGTCAGCCTCATCCTGTTGTTACTTTTCATATTAATATTTTTTTTTCCGGCACTTTGCAAAAGGCACTTAAACTGCGGATGCTTTCTAAAAATACTGCCATGAAAAGATCTTTTTTTCTGAAGTACATATAAAGTGCAGTGAATGGAGAAGACCTAAATCAAACAGCCTTCGCCTTTTAAACAGCACCAATCCACTTGTGCACAGTTTTGTTGAGATGGGATCTCATGAGATTAATTCACATGTATAATCTGTGCTATTGGGTTTTTCTCTCCAGGATTTATCATGACTGTGAGCCGGCCGTGCTACTTTGGGAACCTGCTGCTCGGCGTGGTCGGGGTGGATGTGAATCTGGCCTACATCCTGGAGGATGTCACATACTACCAAGACTCCCTGGCTTCATACACCTTCCTCATCGACAACAAAGGTCAGTCGCATGAAAACGGACACTGGTCGGAATCAGCTCCTGTGTTTTTCCTCACGGAAGAATCAGCAGGATTATCTACTGCTGCTCCTGTGTTCAACCTGTGATCATTAAAAGGTGTTAGCATTATGAGCCAGTAAGAAAACAAACACAAGGGTACATTTTTCATCTCACAGGTCCGACAGCTCCAGTGTTATCAATCTTCATTAGTCACACTCCACAGAGTTGGAAAAGAGTGTATTTTGGTTTTCTTGTTTCACTTTATTTTGTCTGTCTCAACTTCCTCCACATTAGACTCAATTGACGTCTTCTCTGCAGCGCTGGCACTTCTTTGGCATTTCGTTCTCCACGCCTGAGCCCGCGGCTGCAGCGCAGGGCTGTAGTGTTCATGTCCGGTGTTGGTTTGTCTTGGCCCCTGCTGCAGGTGGCTTGACTAAACTAAACTGGTGCCATACAACCGTAAAGTTGTGCTCTGCTGGCCTGTAGATGTGTGCCATTAATGGACGGATGGTTATACTGAATAATATTAGCTGCAAAAACACAGACAGGCAGGAAGCCTGCTGCAAAATATGCATAACCTTTGAAAAATGCAAACAGGATTTTAACGCATTTACAGGTCACACACACCTTTGCTGTTCTGCAGCAGTATTTCTCTTTTCTGTATTTCTCCGCTGCTGTCAACACATCGTGGAAAATGGACAGGGGCGGAAGTATGAATGTCAGGAATTTGGCTATGAAAGTTTTCTCACGTCGCTTCCAGGTTTTCACACCTATGCGGATTACAGCGTTAAAAAATCCTTGAGAATGCCACCCCTTTTGAAAATGAGGGGAAAGTTGTAGCTAATCCTGATTAAATGCAAGAAGGAAAAAGCTAAACTGTGACTTTTAGGGATTAAGGATGTGGAAAGGTGGGATGAAGGAGAGAGTTGAGGTAGAATGAAATGACGTACCGTGTCAGAATCTTTCACCGTTACGACCATGAGGGAATTTTCGCAGCCGTGTGAGTTTTGCTCCTCTCCTGCACCATTCAATGCGTCTCTTTATCCCTCCTCTAAAATGTTTGTTTTTGAAGTGAATATGCCGTCACATTACACCTTATTACTGCACCGTGCTTATTAGCACAGCAACTCGGTAAACACAGACAAATGACTCCCATTAAAGTCATTAGCTGCCCTTCAAATCGCCTGCTGCCAATTAGAATGTAGGTGAATATAATGAGGTAAATAAGCTGCTGACAAGAGGTCTCTGGATCCGCAGGTAAATATAGCAGATGAGCTTTTAGACATAGTTTTACATGGAAGAAATTTAGGTTAATGTATTTATTGACTCTATGAGACTCAATTAAGTATCTACCTGAGTGAGATTCCTAAAGGTCTGTGTATGGTGTGTACTGTAGTTCGGCATATTAATAAGAACAGAGCGGCCTTGTATTAATCAGCAGACAGATTTCCCTTTTTACACACCACACCTGCTGATAATTAAACACACACGTTAAATATACACAGCACATTAGAGCTGTGCATAAAACACGTGATATGTTGTTTGTTCGCTCCCTTCAGCACAGATGGGCTCTCAGTCGAGTTTCTTTAGGGCTTTGTTTGTTTCCCAAAAATGATTCCTGCCTCGGCTCAGAGCTGCGAGTTCGTCACAGCTCGACACGCCACCAAGGCCACGTCGATTTTTGGGAGAAGTTACAACTTACAAATATTTTCACCTTCTTTTTTTAGTTCATCAGTTTTCTTTGAAGTCTTTTGAAAAATAAAAATGTTTGGATTCCCAGGTTACACCCTGATGCACCCGTCGCTGACGCGGCCCTACCTGATGACGGAGCCCCCCTTGCACACAGACATCACCCACTACGAGAATATCCCAAGATTCCCCGTGGTCCGACAGAACATCCTCAAGTAAGAGAGGACCAGGAACAAATCTCACTGAACTAAAAACACAAACAAACAGAATGACTTTTAATATACACTTAATACATTTCATGATTTGATAAATGTTTGTGTAACATTTCTTGCAGCCTCCCTCTGGGCAGTCAGGTCATTGCTGTTCCAGTCAACTCGTCTCTGTCATGGCACACCAACCGACTCCGGGACAACAGCAAAGACGCGTACAATGTCAGCTACGCCTGGAAACTGGTAGGTGATGGATTTGCCAACTCGTATCTCCTTTACTCCAAAATTAGTGGGTGTTTGTGGGTATTTTTAAATGTGGGTATGAACCCGCTGAAAAAAGGGCGATTGACTCTTTTCCCGCTGCCAGAAGAGGAACGTGAGTCATGTTCAACATCACAAACAAGCGCTCTCACCTCGCTCTCTTACCCAATCAGCTCGTTCACACTGGTGTCATGTTTCTATCACCAAAAAAAAACACATGAGGATGGAAATTAGAATCTGAGCAGATGCGTATTTTGTTCCTAGTTTAAAGCCAGTTGCCTGAAGTAAAAGGGTTTGAGAAGAGAACAAGCTCTTGCACACAGAGACAAATGAAGACTCAGGGCCTGTAAGACTTTATCAAGGCGTGAAATTATCTCACTCATATATATCTCCAACGCTTCTATTACTGTCTGTGGCTCTTCATCATCACTGTTCCACTGTCTAAAAGTAATATAGAGATTTAAATTCCCAGCCTTTGTGTCTCCACCAAACCTCTGCCACCTTAAATTAGTCCGGGTGATAAACACCAAGTGCTCCCACACCCAGAAACTGTCTATCTGTCCAATCTGATTTTCCTCCCGGGCCTTGAAGTGTTTTTTGGTGGAAAAATAAATGGCGTCAGAATGACATTAACATCACGTCAGTCTTTTTCATTTCTGACATTTAGACTTTTGGCAGGAGCAAAAATATAACACTTACTTCAGGGATTTTATTTTCAGCCCTTTTTTTTTTTTTTTTCCATTAGCTGTGCGTTTGGTTCTCTGTGGTGCAGAGAGCTCAGTTCAAACACTTTCACCATGAGTTTGGCAGCTGTCTGTGTTATTTTAAAATTAATTTTCCAGAGCCAGATAACTGACTTCAGCAGTGTCTGTTGTTTGCCACACCATGCTGTCCTTTTCTTTTTAGCCAGATAACGTCAGGGGATTCATTTACAAGTCTTTTATTTTGTTCATTTTTGAGGTTGTGATGAAAATCAGTTTTAAATATCAGCAGCAAAGGCTTCCCTCACTTAGCTTCAAACAATTAACAAAAATATAAGTGCTGCCATCTTGTGCTTTTGACATCATTTGGAGCCAGAGTCTGCATTGTCTTATCAGGGATAAGGAACAATGAAAACTTACAGTCAGGAATAAAAAAGCTGGGCAGCTCTAAAATCTGTTGACATTTATATACCGTTATTTTCTCTCTTGGTCATCTTCAGATTCTGAAACTCTGTTCACAATATGTTTATTTATTATTTCAAAATAACCTCGTCCTCCTCTCCTGCGTCGCCCTCCAGGTTCAGGACACGTCGTTCATCCTGTGCATTGTGTACGTGCAGCCTGAGATCCCGGTGAAGCAGCTGAAGAACCTGAACACAGCTCCCAGCTCAAAGCTGCTCTACCACCGCTTAGACCTGCTGGGCCAACCCAGCTCCTGCCTGCACTTCAAGCAGCTCGCCACTGTCGGTAAGAAAAGCAACAAATCCAGGGACCAATGTTCTTCGAGCATTTAAACTTAAGACAACACAATGCAACTTTTTTACCTCAGAATATTAACTTCAAAATGAGTTTGATGGTTCTCTGACTGGGAATAAAGAGAATTTTTCCTTTCGTTGTCAGAATCAGTTCCACTAAGTTGAAGAATAATCATCAACTGTCATTAAAATCTTATCTCCAACATTCAGCCGGGAAACATTTCAAATATGAAGAATTCTCATTTGTTAAATCGGCAGCTCTTCTGGTTCAGGAAGCAGGGGATCATGGGTAATATCCACTGTTCAGTTGTGTTTGAGTTCAGCGAGTGGGACTAATGCAGTCAACACATTGATAGTCAGTGTTTTTTATCTACATGAAAACTACTTCATCAGTCTGACACAGAGCCCAACAGAATGAATCACCACATGTGACTGCAGGGGGCGCTGTTGCTCAGTAAAAGTTGCATTGTGTTGCTTTAATTTTTTTCTGTCTCCATCTCGACAACGTTGTTTAAATTGAACGTCTCTCGACCTTCTTTCTTTTCTTTTCTGTATTTCCCAGAATCCCCCACAGTGATGTTGGCAGCCGGCAGTTTCTCCTCCCCCTACGAGCACCTCAGTCAGCCAGAAACCAAGCGCATGGTGGAGCACTACACCGCCTACCTGAGCGATAACACCAGGCTCATCGCCAACCCAGGCCTCAAGGTACACAAGCACACAAGCCTGGGCGTTAACATGCAGCTCGCAGCCTCATGACACACACACACACACACACACACACACACACACACACACACACACACACACACACACACACATGCAAACACACTGTTTAACGTTGTTTACCTGCCAAACACACAGAACATGGCCGAGCCTGTGGTCAGGTTACAGTCACGTACGCAAATGTTCCTGCGTGTTAATTATGTACAAATAGATTTCAAACAAAATACAAACATATTTTTGTAGTCGGAGTTCTTTGAAGTACTTTCTTTTAATTGCACCGGTAGTTCTGCGTCTTGAAACATCTGATGTGCACGTCTCCCATTAAAAACTTAAAATGGAGTTCTGCATCTTTAAGAAACAGGACAAACCCCCATGTGGTTTTGGAAGCCTGTGTGCTCTGCTGCCCTGGGGGGGGTTAGAGTTTGAACTCTCAGCTCTGATTCCCAGGCTGGTCTTAAAGGCCCCCTCCAGTGACCTCATCACCTCTTTCAAACTTTGAAGCTGCTCGGAAAAAATGGCACCAAGATGTGATTTTTTTCTCTCTGGGCTTTAGGGCTTATTAAGTCACATTAAAGTGTAAAAACTGTAAGATTTGTTATTTGTTCTCCCTTAATCAAAGTGATCGTATTATAGATACAGAACAATAATTGCAGTTTTAAATTAGCTGTACCATTTTGAAGACAGTGTTCACTTTTTCCTATATTGTTTGTGATTTGTCTTCAATCAAATTTGCAAAGATTTCTTTTCCAGCTTTCGTTTTAAACACCAAACCCAGATTAAAACTTTTCTCCTCTCTCCATCTTCCTCCATCTCTGCATCCCTCTCCGCAGTCCTCTGTCAGGAACGAGGTTATGGCGACCAGTCACGTCACGGATGAGTGGATGACACTAATGGAAATGAGTAGCCTCAACTGCTACATTGTGCGCCGTTACATAGCAACCCCCAGTGGGGTGCTCCGGATTTACCCGGGATCACTGATGGACAAAGCCTTCGACCCGACCCGCAGACAATGGTGAGGCTTAGTGAGGAAGGGGGTGGTAAAAGTGTGTGTGTGTGTGTGTGTGTGTGTGTGTGTGTGTGTGTGTCGGGTAGGCACACATTAAAGGGAAGGAATATGTGTGGATACTCAGGTGCATGTTTGTGCTAAAATATTATTGACAGTATTAACAAATCAGATTTCTGTTCCCGACTGAAGTAATTTAAAAAAGTGTTTTGTTATATTACTCCAGCAAGTTTTGTATTTTCTGTTATTTCTTGCTTTTTTGATTTTTATTAAACGATTCACACTTTTAAAAAGTTAATGGGGAGTTACAGTATTTTTCAACCTGGGCCCTATGTTTATAAATGTGTGTGTGTAATGAGTAGTCGAGACTTTTGTCAAAGACCCAGAATAACAATTTTCAGTGGACTATTCCAGCACAGATCACGTCCTCATGTTTCTGCAAGTTAAGTGTCGGAACAAAAACCTGAGGAGCATCTTAAAAAGATCTTTGTCAGGAGAAAGTTATGCGTTGATCTGAACTCGGTGAGATAACCCTCTGCCCGTGTGATGCGTCGTGCAGGTACCAGCATGCTGTGGCCAACCCTGGCCTCATCACCTTCACGGGGCCGTACCTGGACGTGGGCGGGGCAGGATACGTCGTGACAATCAGCCACACCATCCACGCGTCTAGGTAAGAAACATAACATATATTTTGTCTGCAGTAAATACCTCTGTAAATACATCAGTCATTTGTGTCTGATTCTCCAAAATGCACATATGCGAGTCACTATATTCTTAATCCTGATAAACAGATTCCTCCAGAATCTGTAGGCGAGTGATGTTGGAGCTGGAACCCTCCTGGTCTCTGTCCCAGCAGCTAATTCGATTCGGCTCTGGGATTATTATATTTTATTTAAGGAAAATCCAAGGGAGTTCTAAAAACTATTGCACAGTGTTTCGTACACAGCCTGTGGGAGTTGGAGGATTTAAAAAGCTGTTGACTTGAGATCAACATGCAGTTCACTGAGCTTCAGACTCGCCACAGTGGTCAACATCACTGTTAGCATCAGCTCGATAAGATCTGTTTACCATGGTCCATGCAAATGTTCCGTCTACACACAAACATTCAGTATCAGCGTGTGATAAACCAGGATCAGGCTCAGCTGAGCATATAATCACGCAGTCTGTAAACACGTCTATAAAAACGTCTATACACCGTGAGCAGGGCTGTGTGTGCTTTCTATTTATGGCTCAGGACCAACAATGTAACTGACAGTTAGTTTTGTCAGTGAGCGGCTTACAACACAATCACAGACACAGAATTTCTCATAATCCACGTGTTCTTTTTTCTGTGTCGTCTGTTCTGTCCTCTCTGCTCTCCAGCTCTCAGACGGCCCCTGGTTACGCGATAGCCGTGATGGGTATAGACTTCACCCTGCGCTACTTCTACAAAGTCTTGCTCGACCTGCTGCCCATCTGCAACCAGGACAAAGGCAACAAGATCAGGTGAGTGTAGGAATCGATGTGGTGACTGACATTGCCTCTTGCTTCTTTTTAGTTTTCTCTTTCTTCCCTTTACATCGTTTCACTGAGCAACTTGCAGAGAGATCAAGAAGAAAAAAGGAGGGAGAAGAGATAAGCTGATTATCACAGCATTCCTGCTGCAGATGTGGCGTTGTTGCCGCCTCAGTCCGACATACTTCCTCCAGCCTTAATGTCCTTTTTGTTTTTTATCCTCACCCTTTCTTTTCCACCCCCTTCTTCTTCCACTGTTTGTCTCCCCCTCTCTCCATCGCTCCACTTCCTTCGTGCTCTCCCTGTTGGTGTTCAGGGAGCATATGAAACAGGATTAGCTCGAAAGGGGCAGAGAGGAGACATATTTGGCAGAAAGTCTAAGGAACAAAGGGAAGCAGAATGCAGCTGTATTATTCAGATGAATGAAGCTGAAGTTAGCATCGGGGGAAAAGAAGGATCCAAACATATACTCTTTGAATTCACTTTTGTGTTATAGCTCAAGAATTAAGAGTCACAGTCTGCTCTCTAATATTTATGTTTTCACATCTTAGGTGCTTCATAATGGAGGACAGAGGGTACCTGGTTGCACACCCCACTCTCATTGACCCCAAAGGTCATGCCCCTGCAGAGCAACAGCACATCACGCACAAGGTAAAGCACCGAGAAACACACATCGATAACAGAAACAAGAGGACAGTTACAGCTTTGTAGCCTGATTTAAATCCTGCCCCCATATGAAACCATTTTAAAAGCACTAGATCTGTACCGAATTGACCACAGTCCCCGAAAAATGTGCCTGATTTTCTTTCACCAAGATCTGTGAATGTAAAAATGTAAAAAAAAAAACCCTGCTATATGTCACAATGTTGAAGAAAGTCATAAAACCATCTCTGGATTAGGCCCCTGTGTCTGGATCCCTGTCAAAGTTTGATGGGTTCATTCTTGGTCCACGTCCCATCCTTCCTCCAAGTTTCATGGAAATCTGTTGGGTAGTTTTTGCGTAATCTTTCGAACTGACCTGCAACAGTAACATAAAAACTCCACGTCCTTCAACAATAATTAAATGTGTGGTGGTGAAAGTAGATCTAATGATTAATCTGGGGAAAGTGCACAACGATGTAATTATAGTTTACAATTCAAAGACAATAATTAACATTCTCATTCATAAACAAACCATTAATATGATTTGGAATTCAGTCTGATTCTCGCCTGGTTTCAATATTCCTCAGTTTGTTATCGTGTTTTTTTTAATTGCAGGAGCCGCTGGTTGCTAACGACATCCTCAACCATCCCAATTTCGTGAAGAAGAATCTGTGCAACAGCTTCAGCGACCGCACCGTGCAGCGCTTCTACAAGTTCAACACCAGCATCGTGGTGAGTCACAGATGTTTCAGTGTCAGATTCAGACGGATGTACTCGTCAGTATTGGACAGAGGTACTGTCCTCGAGGCCTCTGAGGAGTGCACCACATTTATATTTGATAGTACAACACTGCTACCTAGTGGTGGTGGTTCTTGTTGCAACCATGAATTGCTCCTTTCTACCATATATATTAAAACTGCCAAGTACATCCTGAGTCTCATTAAAACTGCAGCTTTAAAGACGTTATTATTTTTTCCAACATGTCACTAATACTTTTATATTTTTTTTTTTACCATCGGTCGTTTCAAGTACTTTGATCTTCCACATCCCCTTTGAGATGGTATCCAATCTTCTTTTTCTTTTCATCAGGGGGACCTCACCAACCTGGTCCATGGTAGCCATTGTTCTAAGTACCGTCTGACCCGGATCCCCGGCACCAACGCCTTCGCCGGCATCGTCAACGAGACATGTGACTCCCTGGCGTTCTGCGCCTGCAGCACCGTGGACCGACTCTGCCTCAACTGCCACAGGTCTTTGCTTCACCCACACACTCACAGAGAAACTGAGTGTGATATAACAGCCAACAGTGGTGGCAGAGTTTCTCACTGACCGTGATGACATTGCTCGTTTCAGAATGGAGCAGAATGAGTGCGAGTGTCCATGTGAGTGCCCTCTAGAGGTCAACGAGTGCACAGGCAACCTCACCAGTGCTGAGAACAGGTTAGTGGAAGTTTAGTGTTTTTAATTGTGGACACTTTTGTGCTTCAAACACTTTGTGAATGTTCCTGGGTGTTTCCTCACTCTGACTTTCACTGTCCTTTTTTTGTTTTGCGTGTCTGTCTCTTCCTCCTCCTCTGTTTTTCCGCTCTGTCCATCACTCTCTTTCTCTCACACCTCCCTCCCTCTCTCTCTCTCTCTCTCTGTGTCTCTCTCTTGTTTTATCCACCTCCTCTCATCAACCATCGGCAGCCTTTGACAGCATGTCAATGCATCAAATGCCAATTCCTGTTTTATTTCAGGGAGACATGCAATTATCATCTTTCACTGTCAGATTTCTCTCTGTTGTTGTGTCG